ACTAGTTCCTTTTGTTACCATGCCACGTAACTGAAGGTCGTGGTCGCCATTTTTATGCATGTTCTTTGTGCGCAGCTGCCTGTGGATGCAGCGGCCTTTTTCCGTTGAAATTAGATCTTGTTTGAGAAAGAAACAAAGAAACAAACTTTCCAAATCAAAAAACGTAAATGTCTTTCATGTCCGTTGAGTCGGGATCTTTATGATGTCGCGAGTCACGACATGAAAATTTGGTGCCAAAACCCCGTTTAATCAACCATGGCCTCGACGGAAGGAGGAACGTCAGGGTCCGGACAAGCAGAGTCAGGCTCCAACAGTGATACGTCGAAAATGGATACGGTCACCCTACCGGTGCAACTGACTTCTGTAAGCAGCTCAATTCAATGCCTGGTGCGAGATCTGCAACAGGAGGAGCACGATGCTGACCGGTTTATTGCCGGGCACGTGCCCCCGAATGACGTTGAAGACTTCTTGGTAAGCTTTGAAAGCATTGTCGAACGATTAGAAATCAAATTGAATCAATTTTCGAATGGTGTTGCTCAAATGCCCGCATCCACCAAGGGACAACGTGCCCAAGTTGAATCACTGAAACTGGAAATTAATGGAATGACAGTCTTGGTAGAATCAGCGGTCTCAAAAATCAGAAAATTAAAACAAGTGGCAATCAGACACAATAAACAAATGGCGATGGTCCAAGCCCCATTGCCAGCGGAGGATCCGCATGGTATTCAAAACCTTGTCAATGTGCAAAACAAAACAACACAATCTCTATTGGATGCCATCCATACACTCACCAACAATGCTCCTGGGCATTCCGAATCACAGTCCACGCATCCCCATCATGTACGATTACCAAAACTGGAATTACCAAATTTCAGGGGTGATGTCCTCAAATTTTCCGAATTCTGGGATGTATTTCAATCCACGGTACACGAGAACCCGTCTTTATCCCACGCAGAGAAACTGGCGTATCTAAAAACATGTTTGTCGGGCACGGCACGCAACGTCCTTGATGGGATCGTCCTCGACAACGACCACTACCCAATTGCTGTCGAATTACTCAAAGAACGGTTCGGCAGGCAGCAAATGGTGCTGAATGCCCACTATTCAGCCCTGGTCGATCTGCCACCGGCCTATGACACGGCCACATCACTGCGCCAGTTGTACGACACAGTTGAAAAACACATCCGGGCGCTCAGTGCTATTGGCGAAGACTGTGACCAAGGGATTTTTGTGTCTCTGATCACGTCAAAGCTGCCGAGTCCTGCCACGTTTCAACTGGAATTAGCTAAAGGTGAGGAGACGTGGTCCGCCGACCGCCTCCGCAAACATTTACATGACTATATCATGGCAAAGGAAGCAGCAGCTCGACCAACATCAGTCGGTTCTGCACAGCCAAGCATGACTGCACCGCGATCCACGAATGCCAGCACTGGCGACATGCGGCCAGTCCAGACGTTGGCAGTTTCGGTCAAGAAACCACAACGCGCAAAATGCTTCTTTTGCAAGGAAGCCCATTACACAGATGAATGTGACCGGTACAGAACTTTAGAGACCAGACGCCAGCAAATCCAGGGTCGGTGCTTCATTTGTTTCCGGGACAGCCATATGGCTCCGGCTTGTCCGAACCCCTGGGCTTGTGCACATTGCCACAAGAAGAGACACCACCGCAGTCTCTGCCCTTCCAAATTCGGAACTGGCCACCAACAACAACAATCGAAACCACCAATCAAAGCCAACACAACATGTGTCACAGCTCCTAGCTGTCTCAGCCAACAGCAGGATGCAGTCATCCTGCAAACAGCAGTAGCCACAATTGGCGGCACCACAATTACCCAGCCCGCGCGGCTCATGTTTGACACTGGGTCGTCACGGTCTTTTATTACACAGGAAGCACAACAGGCACTTCAACTTGATGCCAATGGTTCAGACACCATCGCCATGGCTGGCTTTGGCGACAGTACCCGCAAGGTTGTCTGTCTGCCACGTGTGCAACTCTCTGTCGGGTGTGATGATGGCTCCACCGTTACGGTCATAGCCAACGTAGTCGACAACATAACATGTCCCATCCAACGCTTTCTACTCGATTACACCAAATATCCGGTTCTGCAGTCTGTAAATCTTGCTGAACCCACGCCCCTTGCAACAGAGAGCGTGGTTGTCGACGTACTAATTGGAAGTGATCATTACCATCACCTCATTGGCCCTCAGGTCATATCCGTTACCGCTGACCTAGTGCTGGTCGAGTCCAAGTTAGGGTATATTCCGTCTGGCAAAGTGTCTGGTGATACGCCCCCAGACACCGTCATGCATCTGTCGGCGGATTCCATAGCGGATGACACCTTACCTGCACTCGAAGATCTGTGGAGCCTTGAGAGTCTGGGTATTAATGACAACCCAGAAACAACAGACAACGACATGGTGAGAGAACACTTCAACGCCACAATACGCAAAGAAAACGGTCGCTACACAGTCAACTGGCCGTGGAAGGAAAAAGCTCCGCAAGTGAACTATGAGCTGGCCAGAGGTCGACTCGTCTCCCTAATCAAGCGGCTTTCTACACAGCCAGACATCCTACGACACTACGACCAGACAATCAGAGACCAACATGCAAGTGGTATCATCGAGGAAGTCCCGAATGCCGTGCCCACTGGGCCGGTCCACTATTTGCCACACCACTGCGTCCAGCGTCAGGCCAGCACAACAACCAAACTCCGCATCGTCTACGATGCGTCAGCAAAAACCAACAAGGATGGAAACAGCCTCAATGACTGCCTTCACAGCGGCCCCAGCTTGCTTCCTGACCTGGGTGGCATACTGGTCCGTTTTCGCCTGTTCCCTGTTGGGATCACCAGCGATATTGAGAAGGCATTCCTCCAAGTGGGCCTCGACGAACCAGACCGGGACTACACCCGCTTTCTGTGGCTCAAGGACATTTCTCAACCAGTCTCACCAGCAAACCTGGTGACATATCGTTTCTGTCGAATCCCGTTTGGTGTTATTTCCAGCCCGTTCTTGCTGTCTGCCACCATTCATCACCATCTCGACAACAGCAACAGCACGCTCGGTTCTGAAATCCGCGACTCCACCTATGTGGACAATGTGATAACTGGGCGCAACACGGCTGACGAAGCCAGTACTCTCTATGATTCTGCAAAGAGCCTATTCAACGACGCCGCTATGAATCTCCGTGAATGGTCATCTAACAGTGATGAATTCAACCACACCCTGCCAGACTTCGACAAGGCCACATCCAACAATGTGAAATGCCTCGGCCTGGCTTGGGATACGAAAGAGGACGCTCTCAATGTCATTTCTCCTAATGTGGCTCACAAACACGCCAACACCAAGCGCAGCATCATCTCCGCTGCTGCTCGCTTTTACGATCCCGTTGGCTACCTGTCACCTCTGTTTGTTCGAGCCAAACTTCTGATCCAGGACATCTGGAAAGCAAAGCTCGACTGGGATGATCCGGTTCCCAACAGCATTGCAGATGATTGGCAGGCTATTGCCCAAGACCTGGACAAAGCAGACACGGTCAAGCTCCACCGTTTCACTGGTCTTGACCCAGCATCTGTCACTCGCCGCGAACTTCATGTGTTCTGCGACGCATCCGAAAAATCGTACGGTACGGTTGCCTATCTCCGTGAAGAAAGCGCCACAGCTGTGGCCACAGTCCTGCTCGTCAGCAAGACGAAGGTAGCTCCACTCAAACAAATGACAATTCCTCGTTTGGAGTTGATAGCAGCGCTAATCGGTTCTCGGCTTATCAAATTCCTCCAGAACACACTGCCATTTGATCTCCACCGCACTGTTCTGTGGTCCGATTCAACTTGTGTTCTACACTGGATCAATGGCACGAACCAGCAATCTGTGTTTGTCCAGCGGCGACTAATGGAAATTCGGTCGAATCCAACAATTGCGTTCAAGTACGTCAGTACAGATTGCAATCCTGCCGACCTTCCCTCACGTGGTGCAACAGCTGCTGCATTGCACGACAGCAAACTCTGGTGGGAAGGTCCTGAATGGCTACGCGGTGATACCAGCTCACTCGGTGAACTTCCATCCCCTTCACTTGCCACAGCTGCAGCAATGGCCTCAGAACCACCCACTGAGGTATCTGTCGCAATCAATTCTTGCTCTGGGGAGGGTCCTTTCATCTCTATCGAAAGGTATTCCAGTTGGTCGAAAGCGGTACGCGTAATGGCTTACGTGAAACTGGCAGTACAGAAGCTGCAAGGCAAATGCAAACAACAAACACAACTAACCACAACCAATATCAAGGAAGCTGAAATGGAATGTGTACGAGTTATCCAAGGTCAAGAATTTGGTGAAATTAAAAATGCAATTCAGAAAAAACAAAAAATGGAACTCGTTACCAAACTCGGTCTTCTTATCGATACCAACGGCCTAATTCGGTGCGCAGGGCGCATGAAGAATGCTAGGTTTCCAGAATCTGGTCCAATACTGCTGCCACGGAAACATCCTGCCACGAGGCTAATCGTGCAACTGTGCCACGCTCGCGTTCGGCACTCCGGTACTAGCCAGACGCTCATGGAGGTGCGTAAGCGTTTCTGGATAACTCGTGGGCGGGCCACCGTGCAGACAATATTGCACAGCTGCTACCACTGCAAGAAATGGGAAGCGAAACCATACCCAATGCCGGATTTTGCTCCACTGCCGAGCAAGCGTGTTAACAGGTGCATACCATTCTCGTACACTGGTATCGATTACTTCGGCCCAATGACAATGACCAAGGAAAGCGAGAAATGCAAGGTATGGGTTTGCCTGTTCACATGTTTGACTACCCGCGCAATCCACCTCGAGCTAATGGAAGACATGACAACAGCCTCATTTCTACTGGGCTTTCGTAGATTTATTGCCCGTAGAGGTACGCCGATTGAAGTTTTGTCAGATAATGCAAAACAATTTCACACTGCCTCGAACGTCATTGGTGAAGTTTGGAATGACGTGAACCACACCGATGACTTTACTTCGTTCTGTGCTACGAATGGAATACAATGGAAATTCATAGTACAGCTGTCTCCATGGATGGGCGGCGCATACGAGCGCTTAGTACAATCAGTGAAAAGGGTCCTACGAAAGACAGTGGGCACTTCAATTCCAAACCGTGATATGCTCAATACGTTTCTAATGGAGGCGGAGGCGATAATTAATGCACGTCCACTGGTCTACGTTGGAAACGAATTGGATTTTGGTAATGTTCTTACTCCCAACCATTTCTTGTCTTTAAACCCGAAGTTGGGCACTCCTGGTATGGAGGGAGACTTTGGTAATGACCCGACGTTTGAGCCTGACACGTCTTTGGCTAACACATTGCTAACTGCCTGGACGGATGGTCAACGCCTACTACAGACTTTTTGGTCAGAATGGCAGTATTCGTATCTACCCACGCTACGTGAACGTGGTCAGACTGCACTTGCGCATGGAAGACTACAAGCACATGATCCACCTACCGTGGATACTGTTGTCCTAGTCAAGGAAGAAAAGATGCCACGCGGCTCTTGGTTAATTGGACGAATTGACAAACTGCACAACAGTAATGATGGTGAAATCAGATCTGCAACAGTTGTTCTGCCATCCAAGCGGCAGATCCAACGTCCACTATGTCTGTTGTACCCAATTGTGCAAGCGGAGAATCACGATGCAGCGCACGATGACCCGCCGCTCGCACAACCCGCACAGCCGGTACAGCCTGCACAACCTACACAGCAACAACCAGCTCGACCAACACGCCGAGCAGCCGCTGGTTCCCGTGCTAACCTGAAGAACCTAATAAGTCAAGGTGCAGTATAACTCTGTGAACTCTGTAAATAGTCTGCATGAATGTATTTATACACAGTACACTCTCTTGTTGAACACTAAGTAATCACCACACACTCATTTACACTTTGTCTACACTACTGCAATTACAATCGCTCTTCTTCTCTGTTGTGGGGAGTGTCGCGAACGTCGTGATGAAATACATGTACATGAATTCGGAATAACCAATTTATATTTGCATTACATGACGATGATTTTGTACTCTCTTGCTTGCTTACGTTGTGGCTGATTCCACGCTTGGGTTAGCCGAAGTCTAGTTCCCCATCGTCCTTTCTAGTGATTGATTTCATTCTACTTCGAAGTAGCTTCGAAGCAATCCCTCGTTTCTCTATTCTTTGCATTTTGTTCACAAACAAATTCTTCGTTATGTTTTCGTCCCGTGAGTATTTTCGCGCTCTTGATTTGTTTTGCAACACGCGTGACTTTCCTTTCCTTTCCTTTTCTTGTTATGCATGACCATGATGACGTATTTGGTATGACGTGTTATGTGTACGTGACCACGTGACTGCGTGTTCACTAAATACATAATCCTACACAGTTGCGAGGGCATGATGCTCTGATCAGGCCCGAGGTCTGTGAGTGATTTTGCCCGAGGTCGCGACGCCCAAGGGGCGTAGCCCCGAGGGCGTCGCGACCGAGGGCAAGATCACTCACATGACCGAGGGCCTGATCAGAGCGGCATGCCCGACGCAACTGTGTAGGATTGCGCTTCAGAGATAAGAAGGCCCACCTCACAAACAACAAGGCCCAGTACAGTAGAGAGATTCAAACAGAAAGAAAGCCTTGACGGCAAATGAGTTGATGTCACATTGTGTGCAGTGACCATCACAAACAGTTATTTGTTTGGTCGGGACTTTCCAGTTTTGAGATGAAAGTATTCAAGTACAGTGAAGGCAGTAGTAACGTTAGTACCAGTAATATGACGGATTCGGAATAAACCCGACCTTCGAGTTAGGTGATTGCCAGAGTAAGGTTCAAATGCGAGTGCTGAGAAGCTGCAGCCTTAGGGCAGGTACAAAATGTACTTGTGGAGGTCTGCTTCCCTTGTGTACGTTTCGCCGCGAGAAACAGGACCGGCTGCAAGGTCGGTTGGCGTTTCTGGTCTCCCTGCAGACGTTCAAGACAGTAGTGAGTATATAATAATTTTGGAGAAGGGAGACACATTTTTAGTCCTCGTCGGAGATGTTGCCCAAGGCAAGGACTTCGAAAAATGGTAAATGCGCATGTGCGGCGCGATGCTGTACGACTGCTGTTAACATGTTCTTGACCGGCTAAGCAGTCAAGATCGACTGATCTTGACTGCTTATTCTGGCCGCTCATTGGCCATCTCCTGGCAACAAGCACGTGCCATGTCTGAACTACATGACCAGGTCTGGGAAATCGCCTAGTTAGGGCATCGGAGGTTTCCTTGGAAATCACGTACGGTGCGTACGCGTCTGCAAGCGTCATATTTTTTCCTGCACAAAGTGAACATGGATTTGTAAGCACCGTGAATCAACAAATTTCTTTCCCTTGCATGTCCAATGCGGAAGAACCTGCTGAGTTGCGGAGATTCTGTGCATGCGGAAATGAGAGTAATAGGACTCCTTGAGATATCCAGTGAAAAAGAAATTCACTTTCATGTGCCGATTTTTCAAAAAGTGAAGAAAATAGATCGCTTGGAACGAATTTATCACAGTTTGTCGTAGTTTATTGAGCTGAGGCAATGAAGAAGAGTGGTATCCAGACGCGGCGCTCCAAGCGTAGAGTTAGTGTTACTCCTGAGCACTACTCTTGTCCTAACCCTTTCCATTCGGATTGGGAAAGCCCTTCCTCGTCCGCCAAGGACACGATAACGAGAAGGGCTGTGCTGAACGTCCTCTCCAGTATTGCTCGACGTCCTGTTTCCTCGATCTGCAGAGGGTGCAGAGCTGTGGCCGACTGCAAGCCAGAAGTCGTCCAGCACGAGCTGTATGCACCACCAAGGACGTCCGCAGACTCGCTCAAGGTTCCATCTCCAAGTGAGGTACCTCACGGCCCCACCTAGCCCACTCCCAGAAAACAAACCTGTAGGGTGTGGGGACTGTGAGGCATTAGTAGTAGGGTGTGGGGACTGTGAGGAACTAAGGGATTTAGGGGAGAAGTTGCAGAAGGAGGTTGAGGGGTTATTGAAGTCAAGGGAATTTTTAGATGAGCTTCTTGCGACAGACCATGGTAGGGTAAAGGTAGTTAATGAGATATGTAAGATAGAGAATAAGTTTCTGTTTGCGGAAACTCTAGACGCCATTAGCCACTCAAAGGAGAGTAGGAAAGTGGAGTCATTGCTGGGCATCCCCGCTGGGCGCATCACTTCCCGCTCCTATAATCCCGTAGTAGAGGCTTTTGTGTGTGGCATGACGGCGCCACTTTCAGTGCAGTCGTCCGCAGGGGCAGCAAAACGTAGCATGCGCCAAATGTAGCAATTCAGAGTGTGCAGTCACAAACATCAGGGCTGCTATCGCAGAAGCAGCGGTCTTTCTCGAGTGTCCCGGACTGAAGTTCTCCGTCTTCCGTCTTCCCCGACAGTGGGTGCAGGATCGCACTTGTAGCAGACAGTGGCTGGGTTAATGTAGGGCGGGTTAGGGCAACACGCTCAGTGCAGTTGGATTCTCCTCCTGTCCCTCCGGCAAATGTAGGATTGCTTGAGCCTGTCTTTGTGAACCCCAATTCACATGAGGCAGTGCGTGTTCTCCTGAGGGAAATTGGGACAAGTGCAGGTGTGAAACAATGTGTTGGTGAGCAGGGCTGTAGAGAGTGGCTTACCATTGTCTGTGATGGCCTTCCATATTCGCTGATGCGTACCACCATTGCTCAAAGTAGAGATGAGGCCAGGAAAGCAGCGTACCATGCCGCAGGCATTTTAGATGTAGGTAGCATGAGCAAGGAGTCGTTGGTGGGCTACTGTAGGCAGCACTCTTTGAATGTGTCTGGCAGCCTAGCATCATTGCGTAGCCGTGTAAGCACTCATGTACAGGGCAGGGTAGCGAGTGGAGATTTGAATGTGCTGGGTAGCATCCCTGCAGGTAAGTTCAACTGGGTTGTGTCGCAAAGTGGAGGCCTTCACTGGGAGATGAACTTAATCTAGGCTATTGTCAAGACTCTTTGGCCTTTTGTGTACAGAGAGTTTTGTTTCAGTCAAGGCTACACTTCTTCTTCGCCGCATCAGCTGGACTGGGCCCACAAGGCCAAGGACCACCACCGCACTTATGATAAACTTAGTCGCTTCACAGATGGATGCATGGATGAGCTGCTACGCCGCTATGTTGTGTCGTGTGCAAGTGATTGTGCCCCCACTGCCGGTGATTTTGTCATAAATGTTGAGCACCTTCGTTTATTATCTTCATCAACAATGATAAACTATGTTTTTTTTACTAAGAATCCCTCGTTTCAACTCCAAATGTGTGCCTTTGACGATATGGCATAATTATGGTATTCTCACATGCCACATTCTAGAACAAAATCAGAATATACATGGTGAATCAACTCGTAATAATATTTGTACATGATGGTGAATCAATTTTTACTGGTAAGAGTTTGGGCGTGCTATGCATGCGACTGGAGTAAAGCTAGGCTTAGTGCATGATAAGGTGGGAGTTGGTGAGGTGGGAGTTGGTGGTGTGGGAGTTGTAGGGGCAGGAGGTGGGGAATTCGATTTTTTAATTGCTGGAAAGAAGTCGTCTACCGGACTGCTGCTATAAAGGTGCTCAACACCTGATGGAGATATCACCAGAACTAGCACCTTGGCGTGTGTAGCTTCATGAAGCTCCATGCCCTGCGTCAACACAAAGATACAAACACAAGAAACTTATCAGGTGAAAGTCAGCAATGTACAAGGTAGAGGATAGAGGATACTTACCGCTCGAATCAAGCCATTTTTACGTTTGCTGAGGCAGCTCAGGCGCTTGACTTTGTCGGCGATAGCCAGTTATCTTTCTCTTACGAGTCGACGGGGATGAGGAGTTGAGTGACATTGTACAATCAAAAACGGAAGTAAAACAAATGCAGGACGAAAGGAAAGGAACGGAGATTTTTTGAAAAAAAGTTCATTTTCCCTTTTGTTATGACCACCGCGTGCTGTGAGACAGGGTCCAGCTCCGCCTTGGCGTTATATTTCTCCTTCTGACGTAATGTTTTCATCACGTGGGACCCGTACATACACATTGTCCTAACTAGGCGATTTCCAGGACTGATGACTGTACAGACAGTAGGCTAGTGCATTTTAGCGATTCGCTCTCCTTGCTGTTCACTTCTTCTCCATTTCTGTTTGTCGCTGCACTAGTTCCTTTTGTTACCATGCCACGTAACTGAAGGTCGTGGTCGCCATTTTTATGCATCTTCTTTGTGCGCAGCTGCCTGTGGATGCAGCTGCCTTTTTCCGTTGAAATTAGATCTTGTTTGAGAAAGAAACAAAGAAACAAACTTTCCAAATCAAAAAACGTAAATGTCTTTCATGTCCGTTGAGTCGGGATCTTTATGATGTCGCGAGTCACGACAATTTCCACTACTCCTTAGGGCGCGTTCAGACTACCGTGAACCCCGTCAAACCGTGAATGCCGATAAACCGTGAAGGACATTCACACTACCGATAACAAACTAACGTGACCGGGAAGTAACTTAGTTTTCAGCTCTCACCGCGGCACTGACAAGGGATTTTCCCTTTTTTTCGCAGCGCGCATGCAGCCTGAGCACTTTTTTACTGCCGGTAAAAGTTTACTGCCGCATCAGCCGCGGCAGTAAAACTTTCCCACCGGTAACGTGCCAGTAACGTCACGTGATCAAATCACCTTGGCGACTTTCCCTATCGGTCACTTTTTATCGGTAGTCTGAACGCGCCTAGGGCGCCTTCAGACTACCGATAAAAAGTGACGGAATGGGAAAGTTTCCTAGGTGATTTGATCATGTCACGTTACTGTCACGTTACCAGTGGAAATTTTTACTGCCGCGCCTGCTGCGGC